ATCATTCTCCTCTTCCTGTATCTCTCACTTTCTCCTTTTCCTCCTGTCTCCCATTCTTGATTGGTTGATAAATACATAGATTTATATAGGTGTGTGTGTCTGTGTGCACACGTATGTTTGCATGTGTGTTTCAGAGGTAGATTATACTCAGGAACATGCAACATTTGATGATTAGACATGGTAACAGATGTAAAGAATGTTGTTCTGCCCAGCCAGTATGACTCAGTGGTTGAGCATTAATCTATGAGCCAGGAGGTCACAGTTCGATTCCATGTCAGGGCACATGCCCAGGTTGCGGGCTCAATCCCCCGTGGGAGGCATGCAGGATGCTGCCAATCAGTGATTCTGTCTCATCATTGATGTTTCTATCTCTCTCTCCATTTCCCTTCCTCTCTGAAATGAAAAAATATATATTAACAACAACAACAAAAAGAATGTTGTCTTGCACCATACCAGTTGCTCAGTGGTTAGAATGTCAGCCTGTGGACTGAAGGGTCTTGAGTTTGGTTCTGGTCAAGGGCACATACCTTGGTTATAGGCTCAATCTTTGGCTCCAATTAGGGCTTGAGTTGGAAGCAACCAATTTCTCACATTGCTGTTTCTCTCCCTCTATTTTCCCCCCTCCCTTTCACTCTTCCCCTTAAAAAAAAAAAAAAATCAATGGAAAATATCCTCTAGTGAGGATTAGCAACACACACAAAAAGGGATGTAGTCCTGTACAGAATCACAGTTTTCCTCCTGCCCTTATGAAGCAGTTGCCAGAACTGTCCTCATTTTCCAAGTGGAGAATTGCAGCTTAAAGGTGGGAAATAACCCAGATCACCTGGCTCGCAAGAGGTGGAGCTGGATTTGAAGGCAGATCTACTGAGGCCAGAGTCCAGCCTCTGGACCGCTCTGAACGCTGACATCTGACTATGTGTCATGTCTACAACTCTGTTATAGAGTGTAGTACTATAGAGTGGATTATCACTCACTACAGTCCACTTTGGACATCCCAGCTCCAGGGATTAGGATAACAGCTCACTCTCCTGAGGATAGTGAAGGCATGGTGTTTTGTTTTGTTTTTCTTCCACTTTTGCTTTTAAATCTAACTTTCATATAAACATCAGGTGCATAACTCTTAACTTTTTGGTTCAGTTAAGTTTTACTTTAGTATATACCTGTGTAACTACTGCCCAGCAGGATCTTGGTGCCCTTTTATATTCTGTGTAAGAATCTTTGCCCACCCCAAGGTCATTAAGATGTGTTTTCTTCTAGTAGCTTTGTGATTTTTACTTTCACATTACGGTGTATGATCCCCAAAGAAATGAGTACAAAAGCCGTGCTGCCTTACCCATAATGGTCCCAACGGAAAACAGCCTGACTCCCTATCCCAGCAGGATGGCTAAATAAATTGTGGCTAATTTGTAAGTGGAACACGGTGCAGCAGGGAACAAGGACAGGTGAATACTCTGCACAACATTATGAAGACACCTCACAGGCACAGTATAAAGCAAAAGAAACCAGACACAAAGGAGCACATCTGTTTGAGTCCATTTAGATTTAGTTCAAAAACAGATGAAAGAAACCAGGGATAGAGCGCTCAGCAGAGCAGGCAAGGAGCATGAGTGCTGACGGGAATGCTCTGGCGGATGTTCTTATTCTTTTAAGAAAGCATTTCCCAGAGGCCCTGTCTACACAGAGTTTGTTTCTGGATTGGATTCATCAATGGACTAAGGTCTTGCTATTTCTCCCTGCTGACCTGTCCTTATGTGAGTGCTTCACGGGCATTACTGGGGCAATTCTTCCCAGTGGAAAAGAAACCTCAGGATTCAAACTTCCTTTTAAAACAGAAAAGAGGGTGTGCCGCCATTCCTGATTAGAGATACTACCTATTTTCTTTTGCTGAGTCAAGAAGATTGACTTGAAATGGCTTTTTAATGCTTGTTTTAAAAGAGAACTTGATTTCGCAAGAGGAGGTCAACTCTTTATATTGCTCCAAGGAATTATCTCTGTGGCTCATTTGCAAATTTGGATGCTAAAAGCATTGCAATTGAGAGTGGAGCGGTGAGGTGATTCTGGGCCATCTTAATAGCAGTAGGTTAGGAGGGAGCTACGTAAGTGAGAAGCGCGACTAGAGACTGTCCTGAGGATAGGTGATCTGCCCAGGAAAGGGACAGTGGGGCCTCTGGGATCTTGCAGGGCATTGCTGGCTTCCGGAGCCCTGGTTACTGCAGCAGCGTGCTGTCATAGAGAGCACAGACCTGGTTCAAGTCCTTTATTCTCCAAGTGGACATATGGGACGGGGAGGGGGTATTGGGCACACTAATCCATGGCTTGTAAAAGGAAGGGCTGACTAATGGTTTCTGAGCTCCTTTCTAACCAATGTCCTTCCATTCTGAGTTCTTGAATGGCTGCTGTCACCCACAACAGGAGCAACAACACAAGAGAAAGTGCAGAGGCCACAAGTGCTGTTTCTAAGACAGGACAGTTGGTCTGATCGGAACGTTTTATAGAATGTTTTAAAGAAAGGCGGGCAAGTTGACACCTGGCTGTAAAGCAGTTTTAAGAATTTAAGAAATTAAAGGATTTTAAGGAAAATAGGCACTCTCCTGGGTGCCACAGAAAAGGACGGAGCTGGAAGTAAGATGGCTATGACTGATGTAAGAGCCCTAGGGCCATGGATATTTGTGTGGGAGGGAGAGCCCTAGGTAAGACCTCCACTTTCCAGGAGAGGAGGAGGTGCCCTATGGAAGGCCAGTGGGGACCACTGAAGATCAGGAGGGGCTCAGGCATCCCCAGAGGGGAGCGCTGGCTCTTAACTGACTGCGCCATGAGAAATGGAGTGTGATTCATCGCATTGGAGATGCTGGCTTTTGTCACTGTTAGGGGTTTTTAAGTAATGTGTGTGTTGACATTCTCTGGTTGCAGATTGCCACAGTCATTTGTCATTGGAGATTTTATCCTCTGGGGAGATTTTATATATTAATAATTTCTAAAAATGCACTGGTCCCTCTCCCGCTTCTGTTTGCCCTCACATGCACCCTGACCAGAGCCAGGGATTGGACCTGCTACCCAGGTGCGTGCCCTTGACCAGGAATCAAACTCATGACCCATCTGTCTGTGGGCTAATGTTCTAACCACTGGGATACCAGCCAGAGCTACATGGTCTTTTTTTTTTTTTTTTTTTTTTTTAATAATACATTTTTATTGATTCCAGAGAGGAAAGGAGAGGGAGAGAAAGAGATAGAAACATCAGTGATGAGCCGAAACTGGTTTGGCTCAGTGGATAGAGCGTCAGCCTGCGGACTGAAGGGTCCCGAGTTCAATTCCGGTCAAGGGCATGTACCTTGGTTGCGGGCACATCCCAAGTGGAGGGTGTGCAGGAGGCAGCTGATAGATGTTTCTCTCTCATCAATGTTTCTAACTTTCTATCCCTCTCCCTTCCTCTCTGTAAAAAAATCAATAAAATATATTTAAAAAAAAAGAACATAAAAAAAAAAAGAAGAAGCATCAGTGATGAGAGAATCATTGATCAGCTGCCTCCTGCATGTCTCCTACTGGGGATTGCACCCACAATGTGGGCATGTGCCCTTTGACTAAAATCAAACCCGGGACTTCAGTCTGCAGGCCGACGCTCTATCCACTGAGCCAAACCAGTGTTGGCATTTTTAATGGCTCTCCCACATTATTCACTTAGTTTGAATTTACTGAGACCTGTAAATCTTTGTCCCTCGGGCTGCTGCTGGGCTCTCTCTCCCCCACCTTATACTTACGATGTTAGTTTTTTTAATTTTATGGCTGGTCCTGACATTGAACTTTGTGAATTTCATCACATTGGATTAGACTCATCCTTCAGGCCAGATGAGGTCACTTGATATATGTCATCCAGTGTATTTGCTGTCTCGCTTAGCTTGGAGGCTTCTCATAAACTCGATAGGCCTCTGTTTCTCCATCTATCTATTCCACTGGAAGCTTCTATTCATTATTTGCAATTCTTTGGTTTAAGTCCTCCTTTCTCTGTCTTGTTCAAATATTGTGAGAGACCCTGTTAGTCGCCTAACCAAACTGCAAGTACATGATGTTAGCATCCGGGGATGCTGGTGGTTTTCATGTGGGGGCAGAATTTATCATCACATTGGCATGCCTGTTTTTATGGTTAAATAGGTCTTAAGGTGTATATTGACATTTGCTGATTGCAAATTACATTAGCCATTTATCATCCAGACTTGACTCTCCGGCCTCTTCTTAACGCGTATAATTTTTTAAATGCACTATCCCTCTCCCGCTTCTGTTTGCCCTCGCAGGGTCATTACTGTGTGTCCCTGGAGGGTATTAGGCCTGCAGAAAGCTGATGAGAAGGCCCTTACATTTTGTCCTCCCAGAGTGTTCTCTTGGGAGTTACAGCTTGATTAAAATAATGATATTTTGTGTCCTTGTTGTGTTTACCCATGTGAGCATGACCCTCCATCCGATTGGACTTATCTCTGCCCCTCCCTCCTTCCCCAAATTGGTTGGTGGTCTGCGTGGTCCCGGGCACAGCTGTGTTGCTACTGTACCTGAATGCCGTGCACGCAACCTCGGGAGGAGGTGCTGTTAGTCAGCTCCGTGTACAGATGAGGACACCCATAGCCAGAGAGGAGGAATAGACTCTCCCAGTAACTTGTCGTTGCTGCAGCGTGCATGTGACAGAAATATGAGTAACGCATCGCTGAGATTAATTGGGGAAATGATATACAGTGTGTTGTTCCCATAGAGATTAATTGGGGAGATGATATAGAGTGTGTTGTTCCCATAACCTGCCTGATTCATCTTTCACATCCCCACATGTTCACTTGGTAATACTGAGTCCCTGCTCTGTGCCAGCACTGGGCAGCAGTGGCCCGGGAGACAGATGTGGCCCCTGCAAAGATGTGGGTGAGCACTGCCCAATGTCATGGGTGGCACACTGCCAAATGCCCACCCTTTGCAAAGAACTTTTAAGAAAAGTCTCCATATTCTTCTTTTCCTTCTCTTGCCAGGTCTACATCCGGATAAAAGATGATGAGTGGAATGTCTACCGGCGGTACACGGAGTTCCGGAGTCTGCACCACAAGTTACAGAGCAAATACCCGCAAGTGAGAGCCTACAACTTCCCACCCAAAAAGGCCATTGGAAACAAGGTATGGTCCCATGTGGAGCCAGGCAGCTGGGCACTGGTGCCCACATTGGGGCAGACTTTCTTTTCCTTCAGTTATGATTTAAACACACATGTGATGTCAGGGTTCCAGGGCCTGGGGACCCGAAGGTGTGCGACCCGCGATGGGCTCTTGGCTTCATGCAGGGAGGAATTCAAATGGGAGCCAGCAGAGAGGGAAAGTGAGTGTTAGTGAAGCAGTGACAGAATGGCTGCTCCACAGGCAGAGCAGCCTAGTGGGTTTACTTCTTTTATTGGGGCTCACTGAATCTAGGGCATTCAGTAAAGGGGAGGAATATTCAGGATTTTTCTGGAAAGCAGGTGGAGATTTCTTGGAAGAGCCCATCAGCCATTTTGGGTCCTCACATGGGTTTTCCCTTCTGATCGTGATGCGCAGGGCGTGTCGTTTAGGATGCTAACACATTACAGTGAGTGTATAGAGGCTAGGGGTCACCTCTAGGTGAAATTAGTCTCCATGTTGGATTGAGCATAAGGTTTTAAGCCATAAACCCTTTGAGGGTTAGGCTTACTGTCTGCTTGATAATCCCTGGAAACCTTATTGGTTATAGCTGTTTCACCACATACCCTATCTCACATGCTCCTATAAACACACAACTCCAAAGCTGGCTAATATAAGAAGAAAAAACAAAAGAAAGTGGCCACCCATAACTTCACAGCTAAAGACAATCACATCCTCTTATGCCTCTAGGGACCGGGTTGGCAAACTTGTTTTCTAGACCAGAGAGTAAATATTTCTGGCTTTGCAAACCACACCATTTCAGCTGAAAATACTCAACTCTGCCCTTATAGTGTGAAAGCAGCCACAGTGTGGACATAACTGGGTGTGTCTGTGTGCCAATAAAACTTTATAAGAATGGGTGGCAGCTGGATTTGGCCTGTGGGTCATAGTTTGTCTACCCCTATTCTGGTCTAAGCAAATGTTTCCTAGTTCTTGTCCATGGGAGTTATATGTATTTGGACTTATGTGTGTGGTGTTATTTCCCAAGCAGAGCCTTCTCAAAAGAGCTTTTATCATAGGGCCACTGCTCTCGTGAGGCTTCACCATTTATAAGGACATCATTTGTTTCTCACCCAGGTACCCTGGAGAAGGGAGTTGCTAGCCTCTTTAGGTTTGCAGTTTGATTAGTTTTCATTCATTCAGCAAGTGTTTATTGAGCACCGATCATGTGTCCCGGTGCAGGAGGCAAGAGCCCAGTACTTCAGAGGACAGGCCCGGGCTTAGCGTAAGGCCCTGTTGAATGTCCGTTCTGGTTCGCTGCTTAGAGTGCCAGTTCCCCACTTTGGCTGCACTTTGGGTCACTTGGGGAGTTTTAAAAACTTCTGGGTGGCTCGGTTGTTGGAGCATTGTCTCCTGCACAAGGGGTGGGGTGAGGGGGTGGGGTCAATTCCTGGTGAGGATGTAAGCAGAAGGTCTCCAATCAATGTTTCTCTCTCACATTGATGTTTTTCTCTCTCTCCTTTCCACTCTCTAAATATCAATTTAAAAAAAAAAGATTTTTTTAAAGTACTGAGATTGGCTTATCCCCTAGCCCCATTCTGATTTAATTCATCTGGAGGGAGGTCTAGGTCCCGAGGGGGTTAAAAGTTCTCTGTAATTCCAACATGCAGCCAAGCCTGGGAGTCAAGTAGGCGATGGAGATGCTTCAGCAATCACAGTGTATTCATTAGCTTGGCAGGATAGTTCACTCAGACGGGGTAAGGTCATGACTTTTCTCAGGACCTGTGAGAAATTGGGCCCTGTGTAAGAGGGGTTCCTCTACTACCATGGTTCTCAAAGTAGGGACAGCATCACCTGGGAGCATGTTAGAAATACAGATTGTCAGGCTCCACCCAGACCTACAGAAATACGAGCTCTGAGCTGACATCTGGGTGGGGCTAGTGCTTGAGGATGTGTGAGAACCATGAGCAGTCTTGTCCTGACTGAGCCCTTGGCAGATTCCACATGAGACCAATTTCCTAGTTTCTCTCTTGAAGAAGTGGCTTGCTGGGACCGGTTTGGCTCAATGGATGGAGCGTCAGCTTGGGGACTGAAGAGTCCCGGGTTCAATTCCAGTCAAGGGCATGTACCTTGGTTGCGGGCATATCCCCAGTAGGGGATGTGCAAGAGGCAGCTGATCGATGACTCTCTCTCACCGATGTTTCTAACTCTCTATCTCTCTCCCTTCCTCTCTGTACAAAATGAATAAAATATATTTAAAAAAAAAAAAAAAAAGAAGAAGAAGTAGCTTGCTAGGATTTCCTCCCCCCACCCCCTTTTTTTTCGATTAAATTTTTTTTTACTTACAATTGATGCTTAATATTATATTACTTTCAGTGTGTAGCATCGTGATTAGACATTTACCTTATAACTCACTAACTGAACTCCCCGATAAGTGTAGTACTCACCTGGCTCCATACATGCTTCTTGAAACATTATTAACTATATCCCTACACTATACTTTTCATCTCTATGACTGTTTTGTAACTGCCAATTTGTACATCTTAACCTCATCCCACTATCCCCTTCTCATGCAAGCATCAGTCTGCTCTCTGTGTCAGTGAGTTTCTGTTTTGTGTGTCATTTATTTTAGTTACACGTATAAGTGAAAGTATATAGTGTATGTCTGACTCATTTCACTTAGTGTAATACCCTCTAGGTCTATTCATGTTGTCACAAATGGCAAGGTTTCGTTCTTATTTATATCTGAATAGTAGAATTGTATATACCTACCACATTTTCTTTATTCATTCCCCTCCTTTCAGTGCAGCTCTGTTTACAAATAAATGAGCCTGGGAATTGGAGGTACCATGGACACTTAGATCCCTTCCATATCTTGGATATTGTAAACAATGCTGCAATGAATATAGGGGTGCATATATCTTTTTGAATTACTAGTCTTTTGGCCTTCTTTAGGTAATCCCAGATGTGGGATTACTGGGTCATATTGTAGTTCTATTTCTAATTTTTTGAGGAATCTCCATATAGTTTTCTTTTTAAAAAAATAGTATTTATTAAATAGATTGAGGTGACCCTTGGTCAACATGAATATATAGGTTTCATCTGTGCTTTTTCTGTGTTACAACTGCCATACTGTTTTCTATAGTGGCTGTAGCAGTTTACAATCCCAACAGTGTACGAGGGTTCCCTTTCTCTACATCTTCTCCAACGTTGTTTATTGATTTATTGATGATAGCTATCAGACAGGTTTGAGGTGATATCTTATTATGGTTTTAATATGCATTTCTCTGGATTTCCTTTAAACTTTATCTTAGAAAACCAGAGTAAGGGTTTCCATAACCGACTCTCAATACTTGGAAGTTCCGTAGGGAAAGCCGTTACTGTCATGTTTACATATTCATAGATTGTGTTGTTTAAACTAGATTAGAAATCTGATCACGTATGGACCTGTTATATCTTAATTTAAAAAGTTATAGAGCAGTTTATCTCAAGCCTAAAATTAATGTCATTCCATTTTTTTCTGTTGAAGAAAAGTGGAGTTAAGCCCATAAAAAATGGAAGACTTAAAAATTCCACGCTTCTTCATAGCAAGGAGTACAATAATTCTTATGAAAAGAGGGGAGGGAATTATATGCTGATTTAATCTAATGACTCGTAGGCTCATACAAATCTTGGGACCCATCCAGAATGTCTTAAAATGTCATAAAACAAAACCCTGCCAAACCATCCTGTTATCATTATAAGACGTTCTCACTTGCAAAAAGCCTTGCCTTGAAGCAGCCCTCCCATGACCTTCCTTCAGGGCTGGCCTGTCTGCAGCTTGAGGGAAATAAGTCCCAGACTGCCCTGGGCCGCTCACATGGTGAAATGTCTGCATTGTGTGGCCACTTCCTGTGGCTGCTTTCATACCTGGCCACACAGTTATGGTCCAAAACAACACAGAATTATTATCTCAGCGTTCTGGCGGACAGAGGCACAAAATTGGTCTCGCGCGGCTCAATCAATGTGTCGGCAGAGCTTCCTTCTGGAGGCCCCTACCTTCCTTAGCTGTGGCCCTCCTGTGTTGCCACAGCTGCAGTCACATGGTGGGCCTCTGCCTCGGCCTCTGCCAGCATGGTCACGGCCCCTTCTCGGACTCTGGCCCTCGTCCTCTTTTGAGGAACCTGTGGATTTACCCAGAGAATCATGGTTAACTCCGGGCTCAAGATCCTGAATTTCATCACACCTGCAAAGTCCCTTTTGCTTCCTAGGTTAAAGTTCTCACAGGTTCTGGGGTTAGGAGGAGGCCCTTGTTGGGGACCCACATTGCTGAATGCTTTCCTGAAGTGACTCCTTCCCCACCTTGTAGCTCCTCAAGCCCATAGTTAGGCAAAGCAAATCTACCAAGAACCCCACCAATCCTAAGGACTCTAGGGGCCAGCCTCAGGTTTAGTGGGCTGCAGCCTGGCTGAAATCAAGGACTTCTGGGTGAACCTGAGGCAGTCTGCTGTCCTGGGCCAGAAACAGGAACTGCGAGTAGGTGTCCCCTGAGGTGGGTCATCCTCATCCCCACTTCAGATTCTCAAGGACAAAGACTGACTTGAATCAGCTTTGGATTTCTTCCTGTGAAATCAGTGCCACTAGAGTAGTGCCTCTCCTCACCCTCCCCTCCCTTCAGTGCAGCTCCATTCACTAATAAACGAGGTTGGGAAAGAAAGGCACCATCTTCTGGGCTGGCCAGTGAGGACAAGTGGTACTAAGGCTGCAGCGGGTTCTCGAAGAGGTCTGTGTTCCTGCTCCTGCTGGTGGTTGGGGGGAGGAATAAAGAGGGGCTGCCAGTTTCCTCTGCTGCCCAGGAAGCTGGCAGCTCTGGGGCCTCTGCCACCTGCAGCAGCCTGTGCAGCCCCTTAGCCTGTAATTGGCTAGTCATGCCATGATTGTGCTTTGATGCTCTTCCCCAGCATTCATCTACGACATACCCGCTGCTGCCCAGCACAGCTCTGAGGGTCCAGCTGATTCCCAAGTGCAAACTGAGTCAGAATGCAGGA